TGTGTATATATATGTGTGTATGTATATGTTATCTTTTTACAAATCGGAATCGGATAAAACCTAAACGATACCCATCCCTAGTTATGAAGGTAATCTGTTTCTGTTTGCAGAGGTCAGAGGTCACAGTCTCCAGCATCCAGCTGTGTGTCTGTGAGGAGTGACTGGTCCAGAGACAGACCTCCAGGCTTCAGTAATGAACCTGCTCCAACAATGTCCTTCAATCATGGAGCTCAGCTGACCATGTAAGAGATCTGCTGACTCAGAGTTCAAAGGTTGTTGCATAATATGCATAATATCATTCCATTCAGTTGTTTGAAACGGAGCAGGCAGAAGTATATCCTCATTTAGCCCTACACCCACAGGTTGACGTCTTAATCCTTTCCTCATCATTCGATCTAAATTTGAACAAAAACTTATACAATGCCTTCAACTTAGGACATAACATGACAAAAATATTTTCTCATATTCAACTAAAACTATATTTAAATTTAATAATTTGCAACACAAAATAAACATCACTTTGATTACATACAGCAGAGTCTGAAGCTCAATATTTTAGAGTTTTAGGGACTGATGTGTTATGAATGTAACATATGTGTGTTTGCAGAGGTCAGAGGTCACAGTCTCCAGTACCCAGCTGTGTGTCTATGAGGAGTGACTGGTCCAGAGACAGACCTCCAGGCTTCAGTAATGAACCTGCAGCAACAATGGTCTTCAGTCATGGACCCCAGCTGACCATGTAAGAGATCTGCTGACTCATTTATGGGTGTTTGACATTTTGTGACCACTTTATTATGATTTTTAAAAAAATATATATTTCCGCATAAATGTGATGTAAAACATAAAGGACACAAAGATGATCCAGTTACACAAACGAGAGAAGAATATTGGAATTGGTTATTAGTTTTCTTAGAAAACTTAGGGACTCTTAGGCTCTCTTCTCCTGGCCGCCGTCCAGTACGCATTGCATGCGACACCTACAGCGCCTCCTGCGGGTGGTGGGCCTGCAGGAGGGTGGGCCAATGTTGGGAGCCAGTGAACTAAGCGCTGGCCACCAGACGCCTGCACTCGGGCATCTTCCTGGGCTTGACTTCAAGGGGACCCTGGTAACCGAATCTGGGCCGGGTGAACTCTTCCCTTGATTGTACACTCGTAGGGGTCTTCTGAATTGCTCTTTGTCTGGGCCCTCACCCAGCACCAATTTGCCATGGGAGATCCCAACAACAAAGACCCTGGGATCCCTGGGACATACAAACCTCTCCACCATGATAAGGTAGCGATTTGGTGCGCTAATTTGAAAAAACTAATCTCACATTTTTTCGTTAACTTGACTAGCTGTTATTTAAAGAGAAAAATACAACCATTGTTGAGTCTGGGCTTCCACAGGCTCCGCTAGCCTAGAGACGTATTCCTCGTGAAGAACGAAAACCAAGACAGAATATCTTCAAGCAGTCTTTTACTCGCTAACAAGTAGGGATGGGTACCGGTGTCCGGTGCCATGGTGGCACTGGTTCTGACATAAACGGTAGTAACCAGACCGAAAAGCAGCGCACATTTCGGTGCTTTATTTC